GAAGGGAGGGGAAAAAACCAAGAGAAAATCAATAGTCCACTCTGCCTCCAACATCTTAATGCCACCTCTGTGGAAGTGATGGAGTCTCTGTCACTTGGTAGACATCAGAGCAGCTTTTAATTGAGGTCCCAGTGGAGCTGGGGGCCCAATGGGATGGAGAGAGAGAGAGAGAGGGAGAGAGAGGGGGAGAGAGAGGGGGAGATGGGTTCCCTGGTTCTGGTTCTGGTTCTGGTTCTGGGTGGACAGACCTGTGACTTCAGTGTACGTCCCAGACTAGGACATAAAAGTATACCTTAGTTAAACACTGACTCGGTGGGTGTCACAAATATATAAATATATATAAAACCTAACATTAGGTTTTGGTTTCAGGACTGTTGTTAGTACGGCTGCTGAATCCAGCTCTTCTGCATTTTTATTTCCATTGTCAAAACATTCAGCATTGATTTTAATGGACTCCAGACTGACCGTACTATAGGTATGAATGGAAGTCCGAATGAGTTTCTTTTCTTGGCTCAGAGATGCTAACAGTAGGGTTAGCATGTTGACACCTGACACGTCGTCAACATGCTAACACTAGGGTTAGCACATTCTCAAACATCTCTCATACTCGCCGACACATTTCTTCTTGCTTTGCTCCCGTCGTGGCTGATCTGTCTGACTCCATTTCTGACTCCATTTCTGACTCCATTTCTGACTCCATTTCTGACTCCATTTCTGACTCCATTTCTCTGACTCCATTTCTGACTCCATTTCTGACTCCATTTCTGACTCCATTTCTGACTCCATTTCTGACTCCATTTCTGACTCCATTTCTGACTCCATTTCTTCACCTTTTCCTCACATGCAAACGTGTGTGTTTGTTTTAGTGTAGAAGGAACGTTACACACACCCTGGTTAACGTGCAGTAAGTGGATGCTCGCGGTGCACTTTGACGTGACATTTAAAATCCATTCTGTAACAGAACAAATCCACATCAGGGTTTGTATTTCCACCGCTGTGAAGTTTTTTTTTTTTTTTTTTTCATTCCCCCCGTTACACTGCCCAGCTTCATCCGTCTTGCTAACATGACAGCCATGCAGTTGGCTCTGAGCTATGTATTCAGTTAATTAGCCAGTCTACAGGGTATGGGATTACCTTCAGCTTTGGAGATGAAAACATTCACTCTTACCTTGCCCCTGGCAAATCTGAGTTAGACTGGAAATCATCCCTTTAAAAATGTGCCTGTGACTTAGCCCCGCCTTTCAGACAAATCAGTGACTGCCATTGGAGAGTTGATCGTATGAACTGAAGCTACAAATATCTGAGAACGTGTACAGTGTTGCCAGGTAAAAAAATAGAACATAAGTCAAAGACAACTAGACTCTGAAGTTCAGAGTTGACCTTGGTTGACCTTGGTTGACACAGCTGTGTCTCTGCAGCTGGACCAGGTCCTGATGGTCTGAGCCAGGCTCTAAACCTGCAGAATGACGTCAGAAAACCTAACTGACTCTCCCTGCTCCTCCAGCTTGTCTCCAATGAGCCTTGAGGCTCTCTTTAGCCTGAAGCCCTTCCTCTGTCAGAGGACATTATTCTCCTCTGGTCACATCTTAAGGGGCCGTCTTTCTTCTGGGCAGGTAAAGCTGGGCTGACGGCTGGATGTAAAGCAGCTTTGATCTCCACAGCCTTCACAGCACAAAACCAAGATGACAGGCAGGGGAGTCTTCGCAGCACTTTATTCCACCAAATGTGCTGGAAAGAAAACACTGAGGGCTGTAAAAATGCTCACAAACCTTGGCTCACATATTCACCAAAGCCCAAACAATACCTGTCCTGGCTCCGTGCCACTCCCCCACCGTGTCTCCCCCAGACCCTGGGAGTCTCATTTCTCACTGGCTGGCTACGCCGAGTCGGGCTCCGTATGGAGATGCAGTTTTATCATCCTCTTGCCTGCTCCCATTAAATATCTATTTTTTACCCTCGCAGCCTGCTGTGCCCCCCCCACCCCACCCCC